TACACATCTATAGAGGAGTGGTGGAACAAGTATCATAACAATAAAACACAAAAACAAATGTACATGAAAAAATGAAGTTATCACCTGATGAGAATTAACATCTAGTAGGACCAAATGCATGCATGTTTATATATACTTACAATGAAAAAACTACTCTCTCAGTACATGGAAGATACACATATGAGAAAAACTATAAAAAAACAATGATATTTTTTATGTACTAATCTCAGAAACAGCTTAACCGATATATATGTGATTTTTACTAATGTATTATAAAAAATATACTTAATTATATGTTTTATCCCAATACGTTTACAAATAAAAAAGATATACAGATAAGAAGTGGCCTCAATTAGTGATTAAATCAGTCATATACACAGATAACTTCTACAAAACTTCACACAATAATTTTTCATCCCGTAGCTAACTGATGGCAATTCTATGTAGATCGCATACTAAAACGCACTCAATTATGTTAATAACACATCTCATCAAGTTTAAATATTTTCTTTATTGTTTGTTAATTTTTTTCCATTCAATAAGTATTGATTCGATATGTTGGCATAGTAATTATTATTCTATACTATTATTATGAAGAGAGAGTGTTAATTGGGTGATTAACCAACTCATCAACGGTCAGTCGAAACGTACCCACTAGTATTATGCAGTTATAGTTGTTATTTAAGAAGAAAGTTTATATAATATTATACAACCAGTGTAATATGCAAGACTTCATACATTGTATTTAGATACCGTACACATGTTCTTTATTCCAACGCAATTACATTTTTACTAAGAATCTATTTAAATACTAGCTGTACTCGTGACGTGTGGAATTTAACTTTATTTATCTAAAATAAAACATTTTTTCTAAAATGAAAGTAACCTCAGTTACTCCTTATTAATTCAGCCACCTGCCAAAAAAAGTCCCGTCAAAATCGATCTAACCATTTCAGAGATTAGCCGGTACAAACAGACAGACAGACAAAAATTGTAATAAATGTTATTTTGGTGTATGTACCGTATTTATATTCATATGCATGTAGTAAAAAACGGTTATTTCAATATTACAAACAGACACTCCAATTTTATTTATATGTATCGATGACGACCACGTGGCCTAGCCGTTTATTTCAGCGCACGGTACAAGTATTAGTATTCATAAGTATAATAGTATGTAATGTTAAAAAAAATATATAAAAATATATCTATAAATTCAAATATCAATAGGTTGTGCTTAAATAAGGACTAGACAGCGCTGTGTAAGTAGTGCTGGGGTATTACCTTAAACTTATAAATCCATTTTTTAAATACAAAACGTATATATAGTAAAAAAAACTGGCCAAATTCTCACTAGAGTGATCTCTAAATCTTGAAAATCTGTTATTTATATCATAATAATATAAAAATACAATTCGTCCGTAACAAGAAATTTCTTAGCCTAGCTCCTAAATGAACGCTGGTTTGGTTAAGATGAAATTTTGTGTTTTAATTATATTTCAATGGATACCTTGATGGTTGTAAAATATAATTATACTCGGTAGGTGGCGCTGTTTTTGCAGACAGGACATCTGCTGAGTCCGCTTGTATTCTTATAGGTACTATTATTTTTATAGAATACTAACATGAACCCATGACTCTGACATTGTCGAGTCAAATATAGTATAGTAAAAATCGCATACTTCACTCGTCTCCTTCGAGTTAATAAAAATGGTATACACAAATGTAGTTATTATGCAATGATAAAGATTTTTAAAGCATACTTAGATATATACAAAACACCCTGGACATTTAAACAATGATATTCATGAATACAAATGTTTGTTTTGTCCGAGGTTCAAACCCGCGACCATTGGAAGTAAAGCTCTATATATGTATATGTACTTGAGTAATTTCTTTATACATATCTTACATATAAGAGTGCCCCTAGTATATGAAAAATTAAACATATCCCGTACCTAGACTGACGAGTCGTCGAAAATGAAATTGAAATGCGGCTTTTCTTTATCAAACCTGATTTAAGCTCATTACAAAATATCTCCAGTGCATCCGGTAGGCCAACATGCAAACTTGTGTCTTTAAAATGGTGTTACCATGTAATATGATTTTACGGTATTTTCCATCAATTAGGGATGTGACAATTCCTTCTATATTTTTATAAACCGTGCCTATGGAATTATAAATAATAACTTTTACACATTTTGCTGAATTCAGATATTTATTTAAACGCTATTTAAGCTACATTGTAAAAAAAATGGTTTAATATTTTAAGGCCATTCAATCCTAAAAAAGTATCATAATTGGGAGGGTATATCTGACCAACGCCAGGACTTGTGGAGCACTACGGAAAGACAAAAGTTATATATATATACAAGTAATATCTCCTAGGATATATCTCTTTAGTAATTATATAAACTATTATAGTTACTACGATAATATAATTTAATTTATACTACCTATAATATAGAGAGAGCAGATTTCGTTATGAGGAAAGTAAACTCCGTTTCCACTGTACAGATTAGAGAAGCTCTTTCACTATTCATTTTGTTCATAATGTACCGTACATTATTTCAGAGTAACATATACATACATAACTCTATATACATAAGACTCACAAAGTTATGAGCAAGTTGGTGAAAACAGGGCTAGCTAAACACTAATAGATTATAAAAAAAATATATTGTACAACTAATTGATGAACCGTTGGAATTATGTAATCTGTTTTCGATAATATTTTCTATTTCAGAACCGTACTTTCTTTAGCTGATATCTCTATTATTCACATATAAGAACTGGCAACACTACACCCAGCCATCTTATAAGAAATCACAATCTATGCGATAAAACGGAGGGATGCGCCACTGTGCATGACGACTTGTTGCCATTATACACGATCTCCGTTTGCAGTAGACTATTGTTAATTATCACGTTAAAATCTCTATGGTTTGTTGATGGTAATTCTAGATAGGTTTATTTATGGATATAGTATGTTGTATTAATACATAGTAGGTGAGTTGTAAAGATTAAAATTATAAAAGTTTTATTATACCCAACATACTTCAGTCGATGATCACAGAGAGAACACTAATTATTCAAGAATCTATTCAAGTCTAGACATTATGCTAACTGACTAGCCTACGCATTGACTGACACATTCCAATCACTAGTTCGTGTGTATCTGTAAATGACCGTTTCCTGAACCTAATTGACTGATCTAAATGTTTACATGTCAATCTCATTAGCCATCGTTTAAACCTGATAGAATTTAAAGGAAAAAAGAAATATCATGTGACCTGAAATTGCTTTCTCGACTGGTGGACTGAACTTTTGTGAAAAATCTATACAAATATACGTAATGTTTATATAATAATAATTGACCTAAAATTCCTTACACGTGTGTATGATTTATTCTTTTAAATATAATTTATTTTTATTAATGTGCGTTGCCTAAGGTTTACTCAATTACAATTGAAGTTTCCAATATTTACAAATATTACTGTATATACATACATATACTATAATAAATCAGTACAACCAGTAAACAGTATCATCTCAAAACTAAGTAATTAAATCCATTGACATTTGATTACGCCGTTTCTCACCTTTTCATACTAGTCAATTACCTACATCGTATTAATTACATATTCCTGTTCAATGAAAGAGCTAACCGACATTATTGTTGATTTATTTAATTCAGTGTTAATTACATTTCAAACCACAAAACTAAATAAGATTGAAATCGATATTAAAATTGAACTCCAGAGAAGACTGCAATTCGTGGCCATTTAATAAAAGTTATTTCTATAACTACATAACGTAACAGAGGTTAATCAGGGTCTGACTATTTAGCTTGAACACTTAAGTTGTTACTATAAAAAGTTTAATTTTATAATGTATTTTTTATATCATAAAAATGCCAAACAAACATGCCGCTAATCTCACTTCCCCTTTTCAAAACAAGTAAAGTGAATGCTCGTCAAAAGGCGCTAAGGCGCAATAGAAAAATACACAAAAATAAAACCTAAACACATGCATTGCACGGATACCAATAGCCAACAGTGTTAAGTGAAGCAAAAAAACTTACGTGTTATACAAAATAAAAACTTAAATACATGTGAGTATGGTGTGGAAAAAATAAAAGTAGCGCCGGGTATCATTCACTAGTGTACAAATAAAAATGTTAGCGCAATCAATCATTGATGATCGAATTTGCGAGTCACGATTGCTATCTCGGAATTACATACCTATTTGTTGATCAGATCATCTTTTGTTCGACACTCATTGAGACTTCACTTTCGTTCTCCGCACCATTAGTTTTATTGCAATAATATTATTTTCAATTAGTTCTCAAAGGTTATTAAATCATAAAAAATGTAAAGAAATTTACGCAAACTGTAGGAAAGTATGGGCTACCATAATGAAATTCCACTCTGGGTGTGATTTACCCAACATATACCTAATTTTCCAGGGATTTTCTTTTTTGCACTTTGTCACTGTAACTTACTGTATCTTTAAAACCATAGAGAAGACTTACACTTTTTAAAATTCCATCAACATTCCTGCATGACAATATTATTTTAATTATATATTTTTTCTGTATATTACTGGAATGGGACACAAATTGATTGTCTAGCTAAAGATAAGTGGAGACTGTCGCTTGTTTTCATGATCATTATATGATTTGACGTAAATGGTATCTTGCATTGAGTTGGTATTCTGGAAGAATAAAGTGTCAGCCTCCATACACTGTAATCGAAATACAGTATACAAAGCAAACTGCTTGGCCTTTAAAATAAGTGTCTAAGCAGACGACTATGTACAGAGTCTAACTCGAAAACTGATAAGTAGTATAAATTTCTTTTATTGAAATTTACTAACTGTTATAACCGTAAACTTATAGATAAGGTGCCATCATACATTACTCTAATAAGACTATAAATCTTTTATTTTTATTTATTTAATATTTTTCAAGGTACAAACATACCAAACTTGAGTTTTGTGTTAGTAATTAAAGCATAAGCAAAATAGTAACAAACAGCTATAGTCACTATACTACCCATTATCCGACAGAACCATACACAGCCAAGATCAAAACACACTGGCCGTTGATAAGGCTCTTGAATTTGGGGTATCTGTTTCTTTCGGGTATATTCATGAAGGCTGAAACAAAAATATCATTAAAATTACGGCATAATTAAATAGATTTTATGTAATGATAATGAAATAGTCATCCCAACTGCATAGATGATAGCAAATCACTAATGAAGGAAGAAGAAGGAAGAACACGAGTTATAACAGAATTACCACATTGTGATTAATTTATCAAACATTAACTATGATGACTCATAGGGGAGGATGTATATATTGCGTAGAAAATATTTTGGGCAAAGTATTATTAATTCCTTAATAAAACCATGAAATATTTACCTACTTACAATATTATTTGTTTCTTCCGTTCCAAATCATTCATTAATTCTGAATGAACCAAGTACCATCAGCCATATATCTGTAATAAGACAACGGTCCAGCTATAATGAAACATTGTGTTCTATGTGTAATTCATTTTAATGAAAAAATGTAATTATAAACCATGTAATAAAATTAAGATTACCTTGGAGATATCTAACGAGAATCAGCAATGATGTCGCCGCTATAGGGCCACCTTAATGGATGAAGCAGGTAAGCAAACTAGATAAGTAGATATCTCCAGGCGTGTTGAAGGATAATAACTCTTAGCAAAGATTATATCATCTATACTAATATTATTTAGAGAGAGACCAGATTTTATTTAGGAAAGTAAACTTCGGAATCCCTACTGATTTTAGAAAATCATTCACTGTTTGAAAGGTACATTATATCAATGTCCCAGAGGCCATATATTATGTTATAATTTATATCCTAATTTGAGGAATAGATGAATTAAGTAAGTTTTGCTTCATTTCGATTACAATATACAAAATGTATAACTATACATAACAAATACCTATCTAATACCTATATAAAATTCTCGTGTAACAGGTTTTGTGTTTATACTCTTCCGAAAATGCTTGACCGATTTTGATTTTAAATGTATATTCAGTAATTTTGAGAATATATTTATAACCTATTTTTATACCCCAAAGTGTTAAGGGTGACTCACACCAAAAATTTTTCGACAATTTATTTTTATTTTTCATTAAAAAATGTATGTATTTTTTAATGAAAAATAAAAATAAAATAAATAACCCTAAATTTTTATCCCTCTATTATTAACCCCTACTTTTTTACAGCGTTATTAATTTATATGACAAACCAATGTTTGCTGGGACAGCTAATAATATATATGTATAAATTATTTCATAACGGCCTCTGTTTACCAAAAAGTAAGTGTATAATCTACAAATAATATAACTTACTTTTTCCTCATGTCAAATCGGGGATTGTAAGAAACGTAATTCAAATTTGCTAAATATAAAACCAAACAGAAGAAACCGATCAATGTAACAGCAAACGCTATGAACTCTATGTACCATAAGATATTTGTGAATATTCCATGCATTGTGAGCTTAGAACAATCTTATGACTGAATAAGTAGGTATGTAATGTAAGAGCTAATGTCAAAATATGTCAAAGGCATTACAGTCTGTCAAAATCCAAACCATTTATAAAAAATAAGATACTATTTTTATCAAAATACATTTAAATTACTAAATCTGATCATAGTCATGTAAAAATGTTCATTACAATTTGCAAAAGATTTATTTTACTATTTCTTTATAATAAATAGCTTTAACTTAGCTTAGCTTATTTACTTCTAGATTCTTTCCTAAAAAATGGATACAAAACTTTGCATACTAGTTACTCTTCTCACTTGAACAGATTTGAAGTACAGGAACATGTTTCTCAGTAATACCGTTTTCAGGCCTCGAAACAACTGACTTCAATCACATTATTAATACTATAATATTTAATTTTATAACCACCACCACATGAAAAGCACGAACATTTAAATAATAAAGATACCACGTGAAATCATAAAAATAAGTTCACGTATAAAATTTTCTATAGCCATTCATGAATAAAATATAAAAAGTACAGTCGAATTGAGAAATTCCATTCTTTCCATATTTCTATTTTAATCAATTGGTTAAAAAAGTTTATTTTTCTCATTAAATAATTGGTTCATCAAGTATTTATATACATATTATTATTTCAATAATACTACATTTTCGTGTAAAGTTAGTTAAGTTTACCAATATAAATAGGCTTTGACGGTTAGGTTCTAAATACGACCTAACAAGCATTCAAATGCAAGGCTGTTTAAATTAAGAGATACGATACTTCGAGAATTGAAAAGTGCAAGCAAAACCAAAATAACTGTTTATAGTATCCTGCGTTGCTATTATGAACTATAACTCCAAAAAATTAACGGTCAACTAATACTTTAGAGAAAATATATGCTTCTCTGCACCACACATATAAGTATAATATTGTAAGTATAGTATAGTTTAGTTTCATTTTATTTCAATTACATTTTTTGTATGTACAGGATGTCCGTTTCTGATGAGAGTAATCACTTTTAAATTTCTTCATTCAGTGAAAGTAAACGTGCATTTTTTCTATTTTGTATGTCTGCGGCAAGCCTTCGCTGCCATCGCTTAACTACCGACTATCATATTGTGGAAACTCTCATATTTAATTGAATCCTACTAGTATTATAAACATATTATTCATTTAGTAAGTATAGACGAATGTTATTACTCATTCAAGCAAAAACTACTGGATACCGTGGGATGAATTCGAATGAAAATTGATACACATATCCTAAAATTTATATATTTTTTATTTTTTAATTCTATAGGTTATTCTTTAACAAAATCGAAATATCTATAATTCTATAAGTATATATTTATATATTCTACAATAATCCAGATCTGCGGTTTAATAAGTCAAGCCAGAGCACTACTCCTCGCGCATACTCGTCCGACCACTCACCACCAGTGCTTTGGATATTCCAAACATTAGTCGTCCAGGGTCCATAGCTTTGAACATATAATATAATCTGAGAATATATAATACCTAATATTAGATATTGTCAGATTTTCAAATTTGCTGTCGCGCCACCAACGATAACTATTTATTTTATTTATTGCATAAATTGTTGAAGATTATTACATAGCAATATATGCTGTGGCTTTGTTTGCGTGATCCCAGTGTATCATAGTGGTCGTCGGGGTAATTTTAAAATTTCCTTTATTATTAATCTTACTGTTAGTGAATCCGTATTATAATAGTTAGTTACGTAATTATATTCAAAATTTCTAGTTTCAATGGTATAGGCAGTTAGAGCAAGACTGACCAGTCGGAACAAATATTTGCAGACATATCTTTATTTATTCTATAAAACATTCAATGTAAAGTTATAAGTAGTAGTATTTTGTATGACTATCTGCCTCAAGGCCTGGACACGACACGGCAGCACAGAATAATTATAAATAAGTACATAAGTTTAACGGCAGTGAAATTACTGAATCCTCAGGCAGGTATTATAGTTGCGCATATGTAGTATAATGGTGTATTTGTGTCAATGGTCAATTCAGATTCTACTCTATTTACCATATATATTTAAAATAATTTAATTAGAATACCTACATGTCAAGAGAACCGGCCCTTTCCTTACATAACTAATGGTTTTAGAGATTAATACTTCACTGAAGAGACTCTGCCGTGAATATTTTGGATTATCGAGGATTCTTACTGTGCCATATCTCTATATTCTGGTAATATTGACACAGTTCGCTGAACATATAATAAAATATGAATCTGAAGAGGAGAAATAAATCAGACGGAGCACAAGGATTTTTTTAAATAAAGAAGTTATAATTATTGATTTTATAAAATGGGCATATTGAAATATCTATTATCACCATCATCATTACATAGTTACATAGTATAAAATAAAGTCGCTGTCGATGTCTGTCCCTATGTATGCTTAAATCTTTATAACTACGCAGACTACTACGTTTCTAGAGGAAGGTTTATATATATAATACACGTATGTACACCCGGGCGAAGCCGGGGCGAGTAGCTAGTTAGTTATAAATTAATATTTTCCTTTCGTCCATGTATAATCATTCAATGTACCTACTTAATAATATATTACTTAATAATTTAACATAAATGCAAATTTTTAATAAAAAGTAAAATGAAATGAAATCCACCCAAGAATGAAGAACTAATCAGAGCAATGATTATGCCGTTTTTTGGCACTATACTGCATCTCTGTGGCACACTCTTAAAATTAACGAAACAAAACGTAACGAATCGCCAATATTATTGAGCAAGTAATCACTACGCTTACTTAGTTAGTATGAAACGATAACTGACAATTATGACAACTTAATATTTGACAATTTATCCAGTACACCTAACAACATGTCATTCGTCGTTGCCTTAATATGTCATCACTTTTATTACTAAAATAGGAATTATATTTTTATTTAAGCATTTTATTCACAATGATCCTTAGTCTTTATTTTAAATTATCACACAATATAAGTGCACCAAACAGATATTTGAAAATCATTCAGGATATCATAAGGTCATAAAAATAGCGATCTGCACATCTGCACTCGTATAATAAGTAGCTAATATTAATTTATGAGCTCAATTCCAACATAAATGTGACTAGTCTTTTAAAGAATTACTGTTAATTATCACTGTAAGTAATAATGAAATAAACATTATTTATTATGTATGACATTTATGAACTTGAAAATCGAAACATGAAGGGAACCCTTCGCGATTGGCGCAAAGCGCTTCGCACTCCAGCCACGTACAGAGTAGGAAATACTGTACGGATACAGCCCCAATTTGTGCTATTAATAATATTAGTTGGACTGTTTTTATTAATATTATTTTATTATAACTGGTGGGCTAGCTCGCAAGTGTATGTTCCACATAAATGGGTAAACACTAACCGACCATACAATAATACATATCCACTCTCAACACCAAAGATATCTGGTGATGTAGTCACATTCAGAATTGGTATTGTAAGTGATTTAGACACCAATTCTAAGAGTGCAACAAAACCTTATACATTTAATAGCTATCTAAAGAAAGGCTTTTTGAGTTACAATCATGTAAAAGGGTATGCTACTGTATCTTGGGACTCGCAACCTGCTATGTTACTCTCATCTACATATTCTCATAAAGGAAGAGGAATGGAGTTATCAGAATTGATTGTGTTTGATGGAAGATTGCTTACATTTGACGATAGATCTGGTATGGTAAGTTTTATAAGTGCAATTATTTTGAGTTATTTACTACTCTCGACTTCAGGATAGCTGCAAAAAGCTGCAATTACTATTATATATATTGCAGTATTGTCTGTAGAACTATTATGTACTTATATGTTTTATAAGTTATACAGAAATTTTACAGAAGACTACAGTTTGTCATTACTTCAATTTTTATTCGAATTGTGTTACAAGTGTGGTATAATTAATACTTTATTATAATAATGCTCCCAATATGTTTTATTTATTACGGAACTAAATATTTATTTACATAACTTTAATGCACATAATTTCAAAGTACATATGGCAGGTTTAAGACCATGAAGCTATCTAACCAGTAGTATATGTATGTTATTACTTCATAACAATATATGATTTTTGTAAATGATATATTATAATGCAACTTCAAGAATTAACTAATGGAATAAACATATGGATACCACAGAAGGAAAACTCGAAATCAAGGTGACATAGTACATAAATAGCTTAGATGTGCGTCTTATATGTTCTATCTGACATACCCAGCAATGGGAAAACGGATTGTTATATCAATGACTTATACCATACAGGAGATAAAGAGAGTAGGGATTTTTAGGACTGAGAACTATTGCCCCATATTTATGAATGTATTTGTTGTATGTATTTTAACATTAATGTGATTTTCCTTTGAAATCATTCTGATAAAATCCTGGAGAATTCAACTGTAGCTTATAATATGCTAACTGACTTGATTCTTATCTTATTGTTATTCAGAGGTGCCAACATTAGCATGAATAAATCATAAAGTATATAAAAATACCCTATCATTTCTTCTCTTCCAGGTGTTTGAAATAATAAATAATAAAATTGTGCCATGGGTGATATTGGTGGATGGAAATGGTCAAGTTGAAAAAGGTTTTAAGTCGGAATGGGCAACTGTGAAAGATGAAATTCTATATGTGGGATCTATGGGTAAAGAATGGACAACAGCAGGAGGGGACTTCCAGAGTTATGACCCCATGTGGGTTAAAGCCATTAACATGAATGGGGAGGTAAAACTTGTTTTTTATTACTAAGCATCGAGATTCTATTTCTATCACAACATGTGGGTTGACTGGAACCATAACTATAATAATAATAATCTCAGGACAATTCATATAGACATCACCTCCAGACCCAAGTTAAGCTAGCTAAAGGTGTTATGGGTACTAAATAACTGATACAAATATTCTTTTTTGTAAATACATAGATATTGTACATATAAAACACCCAGTTATGCTTATGAATATAAATGTTTTTGCTGTGCGAGGAATCGAATCCGCGACCATCGAAAGTAAGGTGTGCTAAACCACTAGACCACTGAGGCTGTCAAATAATGGTCTGTAAAAAAAATGTATCTGTTGTCCCTTTTTTATATTGCATACTTATATAATCTAATCTATATTTCAGGTGCAGCATCTAAGTTGGGTGAATCAATACAAGGCCTTAAGAAGCTCTGTGGGTATTGAATGGCCTGGTTACATGATTCACGAGTCTGGTGTATGGTCCACAATTACACAGAAATGGCATTTCTTGCCTAGAAGGTGTAGTCATGAGTCCTACAATGAGACAAGAGATGAAGTGATGGGTTGCAATTATTTAATAAAAGCTGATAGTAATTTTAACAATATACTAGCCATTGAAGTGAGTATACTCCTATGTGTGATATTGATATTAGTCTTAAAAAAAATTTAATGGTCCAGATGTAGGCATAGATCTTTTGCCATAAGAGACACATCATTGCCAAGCGATCTTCTTGGGTAGGGTTTTTATAATTTTAATATTAATTTCCTGGGTATGAGTATTGAGGGACAAAATAGATTTCATTTTGAAGATGTGATTAGTATGTCCAACAAGCAGGTGGAGTCTAACGTTACCTAACTGATAATTTTAATAAATAACCTAGGATGATTCATACAGCCCCAAACTAAGCTGAGCTTGTGCTAGGTGTACTAAACAATTGATAGATATACAAATGTTTACACTCCGAGGAATCAAACTCACAACTACTGGAAGTAAACTGCTGAACTAAACCACTAGACCACACGGGCCATCAAAATTAATCTGATATATTTAAAACTAGCTGTGCCCGCGGTTTCACCCGCGTGAAATTTATAGGCTATGTTATTATGATGTATAAGCTATATTAGTGTAAAGTTTCATCATAATGTGTTCAGTAGTTTTTGAGAGAAAGAGTAACAAGCAACTATCCATACTCACAAAATTTCGCGTTTAAAACATGAATAAGATTTGATTATCATTAGCAATATTACTATCAATTTGTTTAATTTTTCGAGTAATATACTATATTTTCCAGATAACAAAACATCAACCCAAGCATGGCTTCTCATCATTCAAATTTATTCCTGGATCAAATGATGAAGCAATAGTTGCTTTGAAAACCACAGAGTATGAAGGGAAAACAGCTACATACATTACTGCATTTAAGACTGATGGGACTATTCTACTACATGACAAATTAGTTGAACCCATTAAATATGAAGGAATAGAGTTTATATGAATGTGATAAAAAAATCAATTATCTAAAAACAAATCTAAACTTACTGTAAATATGTACAATACAATATGTTTTGTTATATTTTGTTTTATTTGAAAGAAAACACGCATGTTGTATAATATCAATCTCACTTTTTATTTAAAATAATATCACATTTAAAAACTAGATACAATCAACAATAAAATGTTTACCCTACTAACATATAAGACAACAAACTAGTTTATAAGTGGTTGTTCTAATTTCACCATGGAAAGAGTAAAAAGAAGTTATTACTACTCATTGGGAAACCTTAATGTCCCTAATTGTTTGTGATCCTAGATTTCACCAGAATCACATCGATATGAGCCATGGCCGTAACAATTTTGTATTAATTACATTTGTATCACTTACTAGTACAACAAAAACAAAAAAGGCAACATATCTTGTAAATATATCTACATAGAGAAAAGATATAAAGTTTGATTATTGGACAACGATTAAACAAGAAACCTACATGTTTCTAAAATATAATTAGTATCCATAGTTATACTTGAAACAAAAGAAAAATGAAGAAACAGCACCAATGGATCTCCTTCTACCCAGCGTAAGTATAATGCTGAGGAATCTTTCCAATTTCAAATTCCAATTCCATGATGTCATTTTAAACCAATAGACCGCGTTATCTCTTCAAACACAGTCCACGCCATAGCAGCCATTAGTGTCCTACGCAGCATCCTTGGTACGGCGCCCTTGAAGTAACCTTTGAACCCATAATTCTGCAACAAATTAATAAATAATATTTATTTATGTGGCGTTAAAAAATATATAGCAAGGCAGATTTTGTACAGAATTGGGTATAAACTGGTAATGTTTTCTGAAAACAGCATACACAGCATTCCCAAAATATCTATCTACCTCCTATGGAGACAATAGGTCGCTGCAAGCGATGGCGCAAGAATTTTCTACTCATACTATCCTTATTCCATAGTTTAAAATATACAATTGTCGAATGAACCACAGATATTTAAATGATGACCACATCAAGAAAATTATCACACAATGATAACTCCAGTGAATACTTGCCCTCTCGTGCCAACGAGATAAATTCTCAACATAGGTACCTAAATCACATTTTTTGTAGCCTAATTAACAGCATGAATATATTTATCACATGTAGTTTAACATTTTAATATTCCAATTATAAAAAATGATAGTATGGTCAGTTGATAATACATTTATACTTGGGGTCTAATATAACTTTAATGATTTATAACAGGATGCCAGACACTTTCCATAACTGGAGGTAAGTAAACCATGTGTCTCTTTCAGACCTGAATGGTATAGGGTAAGTTACAACTTCAATACATTCATTATTATGTCTGCATGATGGCTTTTACTTAAATAATAATAATGTAATTAATATAAAAAATAGAATAGAATGGAATAGATACATACATATACATTGACATAAATTTGTTTAAGTTTATGAACTTTTTTTAAATTGATAAATATCTTTCAGTGTTATTACAGACAAACAAGATATGAATACTGGCTCTCCTCGTAACGGCGGTTCATTCCTCCTCATTTCTATATTAATTTTATCCGAATTTGTGGAAAAAGATCCTAAATTATTTTTGTTATCAGATTCTCACCTGATGAACATAGAGGGCAGCGCTGAAAGCGTTGGGAAACTTCTCTGGATACAGCTGCATCTTGGTCTTAAGAACATCAGCTGGGTTTGTTGCCAATGAAGCCGCTATACCAGCTACGATGCCACAGCTGAAATGTATTACGCTAGCAGCACTTGGAGATTGCATCCATTCTGAAATACAAACAAAACAAATTATTAACTCTGTGTGTATAGATTTAAAGAAAAATAAAGTAGAATTTTGTTGCCTATAAACCCAGAACTAACATAATAATTTTTCCTGAATATTACATACATATTACAATAGATGGCGCTGAGCTTGTACTATGTGTATATGAAGTAGATCAATAAGGTAGATATTTAAAAATATATCTTTAATGAACAGTGCAATCTAATTTTTCATGTTTCGAGAATATAATTAATTATATCTAAAATGCATGTTATACTAAATTAATTTGTCTGAAATTTGATTAACACATGGATGCATTTATTTTATATGGAATACTTTTTTTTTAAAACCATGCTGACAAACACTGTTTGTATTTAGCTTAGAATATAAGTATCAATTACATTTTAAAATCGCTTCTCACCTTTAGGCACAGCTTGCTTAGTTTGCGTGTAGAACATAAGATACAATCCAGAGAATGGTGCATCTCTTGCCAACGTTGGACCAAGCCCACAGGATAGTCCTCGTATCCCCTCAGCGCGGTAGATAGCTTTCAAGGCACCACCCAAACTGTTATACTTATAAACACCAGATTCATATCTGTAAAGAAAAGAGGCACAAATGACATGTAACCGTCAGCTATTGTATAGAATTTTACACTGTAATCCAGTGATTTGTTTGGAATATCCTAATCTACATAAAAACAACCACCGAAGCATAATTCTCATTAGAAATTGATTACAATATACATAATTTGCGATTCTGTACATAGGTTTTAACGGTTGCAATTTTAAAACACACTACAAACCGCAATATAACTCTCAAATGGTTTATAGATAATTGCAAACCCGGCAATACGTTTCAATTGAGAATTAATAAGAACATCATTACATAATGTTCAGTACATGTAAAACAACGCTTTACACAATCATAATATTTGCCTCGTGTAACCCACCGATGAAAATCTACACGATCGAATATACCTACGCACTGATCGCGAAAAATCTATTAGAGTGGGCCCACATTCACAAGTTGAGACCCGACGACCCGTACCAATGTGCATTAGTTGCCACACCCCGCCTTTGGAAATGCGTCAATTGAATGGCGACGTCGACAGGGGCCGTCAGAGCAGATCTTGATAATGTACGTGTTATACTATAAATAAATTCCTATTAGGTATGTATTATAAATAGCGGCGATTTAAGAACCCCTACTTGATGGCAGAAGAATAAGTGAGATAGAGATATATTCGACAAGAATTCATACAATGTCATCCTCTGCTATCTAATAATGAATAATAATCAGTCATTCCTTTTTATAAGTATAAAATAATGCGCACTAAATAAGGTCATAGGTGTCGCGGCGTCTGCATTTCAAACTGTAAATTAATTCTTTAATTTACATATCATTATATTTACTTTGTCTATCTATACACAATATGTATTACTGACAAAGGTTTTAAAAAGGTCACTACGTCGTGGTCTCTAAGTAATTATGTATATTTACTTAATTTTGATTCTGGTGATCTCTGGGTTACCATAACATGTAACAAAAGATAAGCGAAAGTCCAACAAAAAATATAGATATAAAACCTTTTTAGATATTAGAAATAGATAATTATTTAAATTAATAATTTTCTGGAGCGATTGGTTTTTGTTTTTACTATTTTCTTATCTGTATATTTTACTTATTATAAACATATAAAATATTAGTACTTAATTCTAATACTCGATTCATCATTTCTGTGAATCTTGATAAAATCTACACAATAAGGATCGAGGTGCTCCTTTCTCCTATTTTTTCTCGTTAAAATGTAACTCACCTGGTTTTAATCACAGTAATTGGTATCAAAGCAACTCCGCTCATCGTTCTTGCGACCACGCCCAGTGCGATCGCCTCCATAGCACCCAGGTCTTGGTTCCTGGTCTTCCCAAGTTTAACTTTCAACCAGTGAAGAGATGAGAAGTACAGCCCAACGCCTGGCACGCAGCGAGCCACAGAAGGCACCATGCCTCGCCATAAACCAGCGACATGTTCTTGGCGGATTATGTTGGCGAAAATGTTGATCATGCCGGGTTGGATTCGGCTGCTGTAAATAACATTTATTAATTAGACTTCAAAGAATAAAAACAATATGACGCGAGCGGATAAATAGACATTTTTACAAATATATAAGATTTCCTTAGAATAATTTAAATATTAACAATATTATCTAATAGTTAACACTATTTTTAGCTCATCCATTAGAATTATCTTAATCAAATTGATGCGTTCAAAGTCAATGTTAATAGTTTACTTAAGATAACAATTACAATTGACCACAGACGATATATAATGGTTTATGTTTATTTCATTATAATATTCACAGTTACATACAGAAATACTCAGGATATACTAGTGGTGCAACAATAGGGGGAAAATACCATAGTCCTAGGGGAGCTACTAAATTGTCAAGCATTGAGTAGAGTGCTTAGATATATATACATACAACAATTGTTTTAATTACATTTTACTTTTTTATTTTTTTTAAATCGGTGTTAAATTCATGCAAAGATCGTTTGTTCCCACCGATAGTTATTAGATCGAATCTGACGGTGAATAAAAGTTGAACCTTAGTTAAGGCGGTAGACATTAGAAAATGCACGCATGTCTAGAGTATGTCTACTGGAACTTAAAAAGTTGTCTATGCCTCTGGTATTTTCTTATGAGATTATTTGTTAAACGACTTCAAAAAGGACTGATTTTCATTTTGACTACTTATTTCGCAATTTTTGACTGACTGACTGACAATATTTTATAATAGATTTTTTCTTTTTATGTAATATTATGAAGTTTCTTAATGGCATCTTATCTATAAAATTAATAAAACTTGTTTGACTTACTTGACAGTCGCCGCAACAACATGCTGACTTGGATTCTGTAATCTCGTCTTAACTAAATCCAATGGTTGGAAAAGTATAGTGCTGAACGTTCCCGAGAATGATCCGGCGAGGAAAGCCTTCAGGACTGGGTGGTACTGCAAGCAAATACGATACAGTCAATACATTTAATATTTTAATGTTAACGATACCAGATACCCTCTGAACTCAAATATTACACAAGTTAAGATAAATTTGATTTGTCTCTTATATGAAGTACTTACATTTGCCACAATATCCATGTTTAACAGTCAAATCCTTAGGACCGTTGTATAGAGATTCGTCAAGTGATATCTTTAGGGTAGATGCCAAATTTATAGTATTTGAAATGGTATAGCCAATGGTAAAGAGAGTGCTTGTGTGCCAATTGATTTAAACACAAACCTAGATCGTATCGGAGTAATCTGAATAGTATATGGGGTTGATACGGTACATTAAAGTTATGGTCATTTTTTGTAACAGGTCGCTTGATAAATTCATGTATGTTTTTCCTGCCAGTATAAATTTTAACGAAGAAATGCCCGTAAAGGCCAGTCCCGCAAACACTAAAGTATACAACACTGTGTAATTAATATATTGTCCTTTCAATGCACAAAATAAATTAATTTGGAGACAAGAAGTCACTGTAGTTGATAAATTTAGCCATTAGGAAACGTAATAAACAAAGGAAATACACAATTGAGAATTAATAATTTACTTGTAAGGTTGCGAGAGAGAGAGAGACGTGCGCACAATACAACTGTATGTAGCTAACTAATAAAATAAGTGGTAGATATGTAATTTATAGAGAATGTTATCGACGGTAGACAGCAGCCGCTGTGTCCGAACCCAGGGTCGAGATCGATCACCTCTGATACTACATATCCGTGCCTACTGCCTAGGGGGTAACGTGATAAGCTTCTGTAAATTAAATAAAAATTCTTACGATTTACGACAATAAAGCACGAATGCGTAAGATTTAAAATTGATTGCAGATATTAATACTAATAAGTAGTTAGTATGGTAATGATATTTGTTTACAGATTTTAAATGCTATCATTTAACAAATAAAGTTCAATATGTAGAAACTGTTATATATGTAATTAAATTGTGCAAATACATTTAACATTATAATTGCCTTGGCATTGGATAACAATGATTAATTTATCAAAAGTCCAAGAAGCATTTTTTGAGGAATTGATAATATTATATTTTTATTAATTTGGGTAATTATATATAAATTTGGATATAATAATATAAATAATAATAATGTAAATTATGAATATGGGCATAGGCAGTGATACAGTATGAGTCAACAATACATTTTCAAGCTCATATAGAAATGAGTACACAGTAGCACTCTCTTGATTGAAGATATGTAGAAGTAATAAACTAGGTAATAGGTAATACATAACTATATGATTTGATTATAAAGATGCCTGTAAATGAATGAAATTCTGGACAGATTTGAATTGAATTTGGTACGCAGATAAACCATATGCAAAGGATAATTTTCACGCATCCCACGGACAGTTAACAATCATTTCACTAATAATCTCTAAATATTTCTTTATTATATAGATCTTTAGTATTAATTTCAAATCAATACATACAACATCAATATGTAATTGAAATAGATTTTGCATCATACTGCAGAATAAAAACTATTTATCAATAGGAAATTTTATATAGGTATCTATACAAAAAAATATGATACAGAGGCCATATAGATAGGCGGTTGACATAGGTACTTAATTACAATAACAAGTGTAATTCTGTGCCAATACCTATCTACATAACATTCTACTATATCACCAAGCCCTGTGGCATTCTATCCTATCTATCCTGTGGCATTCTACTATATCCTTTCTTCTACTAATTACATAACACCACTATTATTTTGTTAAACAATAAATTTGTCTCCGATTTCTTTATCTACTTTTAATTTCACAACTGTGAACAGTTTGTCTAAATTTAATTTAAATTAATGTTAGATCACTGAGTTGATACATTATGGTTAAACCGTTAATAATTGAAAAATTATTCTAATTAACATGTATGTCTACTATTATTAAAATAATAATATTGTATAAATGTACAATAAATATTATCCTAAGGTTGACTGTTAATGTTTGAATGTGGCAAATGGTTTTGTTAACATTTAATATAACCATAGATAAGATAATTAAGATACTAAATATAAAAAAATACCTGAATGTATGATTCCATTGCAGAAAAAAAAATTGTTTACAAAGTGAAATATTAAAAAAGTTGCTTGAAAGAACTCTGAGCCTACACACAACTGCCTGTCGAAATAATAACTCTGAAACCTCCAAATACTTACCAAGTAATGCAAAACACTGATGATATACAAACAAATCGTTGCAGGATGTTTGTTTGTACCATTAAGTATTAATAAGCCGTTGGAGGCAATTTATGAGTTTAGGTCATCGTAGAGGACACCGTTATCACACAAATAAGACAAACAAAACCGCAGGGGGCCACTTACATCCTTATCAACGCTGCTCTTGTTGCTAAGATCAAGGGGCGCAGTAGTGTCGATGGGCCAGCCATCGGAAAATACTGCCAGTTCTTTCGACATATTTATATTATAATTTTCTTATATTTTTTTGCCTTTTTCGTGCATATAGCAAAATTTCTAGCATTTTCACTGTATTATATAAGCGTATTACAGGAGGGTAATCCACATAATATCAGACGTAAGACTTTGTAAGTTTATTATTATGTGTGCACTATGCGTATCACAAGTTCACAACTTTATTCTACAAGGTCAGCAGCTCATTTTGTAGTAATACTTAAACATGTCATTTGGACTACTATTGAATTATTAATTAAAAGCACACAAGAAATATAACAACATAATGGTATTCATTAATTTTGTAAAAAAAAACAATAAATAAATATACAATAGATGAAAACAAATAGCTCCAATTTATAAATGTAATAATGCTATGTCAGTTGCGGTGTCATTGTCAGTTTTGACGTAAAATTTGACGTGACGTGAATGTTTGTGATAAATAAATCTTTGACTTTGCCTAGTCAGTACTAGGCAAACCGAGGAAAAAAAATAAACAGACACAACTTTTTAAAGGATGATAATGGAATAGTGCACCCGCCTGCGCTAACGGTACGAACATGAATAGCAGAATGGGCATCCCATCATCATGTGACGTAGTACCTACTTATCCAAAACAATAAGAGCCTGACATATTCTTTGAGTCCGACGTCGGCTATAGAGATTTACAGACATACAGACATTATATTTTTTGCTATATGTTGCCGAATCCTAAAAGAAATATCCATGTATATGGATTATTTGTAGATACACTTAGTCCCCGAGCCAGACTAAAATTTTGCCAATTACTGTATCTCTAATTTTATCTAATTGTATTTTCATCAGTAGTACTTAATCATATGTAATAAAATTATAAAATATAAAAATAATAAACGATATCGAGTGGAAAGGAAGGGTCATTTCAATCAATGAAGTCTAGTCGGTAGTAAGTTGAGGAACACCACTCTTGCAAACACAAAAGAAGTCATTTTCTCTAGGCTCGAATTGTTATCAAATTATAGTTAAACTTAATCTTGGGGAAAAAATGATAGCTGGGTGTAACATGCTAAGTTAGGTGATAGCAAGAACACGTAACAAACATAATTATAATATAAATAACTTATGCATTTGACAAATTAAAGTCTGAGGAAATTGGTCATCAGAATCTGTTCCTGGCTCGTGGGCCGTTACTTACAAAAGTTTATTCTCAGTGATGACACTAACTCTCAATATACCTAATGAGGTTATCATAATAAGATTGGGGCTATCTTTCACAAGCCCCCTTGGGGTGAGATACGTATCACGCGATGTGCGTGTGCCACCCGCCAGCAGAGGGTTATCGACTTATACTTACGCACATTGTGTATTTTGTTTTAACAAATATTGACAAATACATTGATGACTTAAGTAAATGACTGACGTCTTATCTGTGAGAGACTTTGTATAAAGTTGTCTGCTTGGGTAGATAGCTCTGTCTCATGGCAAACAATCAGAAAGCGTACCTAACAATAATCGCTTATATATTTATATAAGAAACGGAGAAGGAAATTGTTATTAATGTGAATTGATATCCCCATGCTAGCTAATGTAGTTCATTACATTAGATTTACCTGGAAAACGTCATGTTAGATTAGCTGTTGTTAATTAGATTTCTGGTGAATTTGCCACTATGGGCCACCGATCTGACGTCATTCTCATTTTATCATGTTCCACTGGTGCTCCACCAGCATATACCGTTAGCGTCGGCAGGTGCACTATTCCATTATATATACATGAGCACCACTTACAAGCGTCATAATATGCGTGGCACCAATGATTCGGTGCTACACCGGACTAAGATGCACTGCCTCTGTATCCTGTAATCTCACTTTTTTTAACCTCACTCTTCAAATGAAACACATATTTCAAAGCAAGTTACATATGATGATGGGATGAGGGTCAGTTGGGTCAGTTAGGTTAGATTTCATCTAAAGTCTTTTACTTCATCTTAAAGCTGTTTATGCAAGCATTGATGAAATGTCTTCCTAGACAGACAATGGTACATTTGAAACTTATTGTATTGAGTAAGTCTTAATACCCAAATGACAAATCTGATGCACTGTTCTAATCTGTTTGGAAAACTCGATAATAAATGAATGTAGATATATAGCTTTTAATATGGATCAGAAATATATAACAAGAATTACCACCCCTAAATCAGGCATTAGCGTATTCAGACAGTTCTTAGTCTCCTTGTATGTTCTTTACTCCTATAATGGATTGTGTTCTGAGGAATTGTTTAACATGATAGTCACACTACACATTCTAACTAGTGATCAGATTATATTATTGAATTTTCTCGATTCCGTTTAATCCCCACTCACGTACCAACAAGTTTTCCATCAACTATCATCAAATCTTATAGGTTCTTGATTTCATTGTAACGAGTTATGTATCGTATATACACTACTATATACTTTCGCGACTGTAATTTAAGAATGGTAGTCAATCATGAGGACAGGTGGTCTCATTGTAGAGAAAGTAATGATGTTCCTAATCAACTTCATTCTCATTATTCTGATTTCAATTTTCTCCACTGGTGACCAAGCTAAATCTTTTTATCATCTATTAAAAAATAATGTCTAAATAAAGGAATATAAATAAGTCCACATCTACTTCCAACATTCTGGGTGGAAGGAAGGTAGGTTCTAAAAGTATTAGATAGAAATGTGATGGGGTGGAGACAGGGGCGGATCGTCAATTTGTGGGGTCCTGTACCAAAACTATTTAGGGGCCTACCTAATTTTATTACTTAACTAAAAAAATACACCGACCAAAAACAAGCGACGGAGAATTCTCTGTTTCACACGACGGCACATGCATGGGTTGATTAATCTCAGGGTTGATAGGCTAACTTAATGCTTATCATCTTATATCAGTGCTTTGCCAGCGTATACCGTTAGCGTAGGCGGTGTATCATTCCATATTAATGTATAAAAACTCTTTCAATAATCTCATAACTATTTTCTGGCCACCAACGGCTCTAAGTAAGGTACATTTTAGAGGATTCTTAAAGAAATTATCTTACATCTGTCTGTGTGCATCATAAAACCATGTATTACAAGATTATAGTTACAAGTTGTAATATGTAAATAAAAGACTCGTTTATTATTTTAACTTATTTATTCTAAGTACTTCCACAAAATTACACAAAATGAGTGCATCATGA